CCATTTCTGTCATGTTTTTTTGTCTCTGCATTTTTTATGCTTTCTTGGTGCACCCCCTTGTGGTCTTTGTGCGCAGTCTTATTGTAGTTAAGCCTTTATTGTTGTTGGCAATACGGGGGGGGGGGGGGGGGAAATGACCTCCAGGGTAACTGGGTATGAGAGTCAGCTGTGTCTGCCGTGGGAGAGCTTCTGTGCTGAATTTCTAGGGCGGTGCTAATCTAGCCTTTGCCTGAGGCTATCCGGCAAATGCCTCTGTGCAGGGCTTGGATGGGGCGGGTCCCAGGGGATCTGCAGGGCCTGCAGAGCGAGCAGTTATGGCTGCTCTCAGTTCCGTCCCCAGCGGCTCTGCAACCGCTGCAAACCTCGGAGAGAAAGCTGCCTTCCTGCTTCTCCCGTTTGAGTCTGGGTCCCTAGAGACTAGCCCAGATCTGGAGCTCAGAGTCTGAAACTCCCTCCAGATTGAAAACAACTGCGCCCTCTGCCGCCGGCCCGCTCCACATGCACTCCGCACCTTAGTATTTCACTTCAGCACTGTGCCTCCTCTGAGTCTTGTATGGTTTCCTCTTTCCTCCTAGTTGTAGAACTTCCACTCAGCCAGCCTTCCTGTGGTTCTGGATGATGTCCTGTCCGTTCCGTCTTTTAGTTGTATTTTTGAAGTGGTTGTTCGAGGCAGCAAACTCCCGCGTTAACCTATGCCGCCATCTTGGTTCTCCGAGTTTTCTTATTCGTACTTAATCTTTCTATATATACTTATAAAAATGTAAATATTGGATCACTCACTGATAGGCACCAATATTTCTAATAGGAAAGTTTAATTCAAACAAATGTAAACTAAACTGACACAAGAAATATAACCAGTCTTCCCATCTCCAGTTCCTTGTTGAGTCTATTACACCCTACCTCTAAGTGTTGAGACTACCTTATATCGACTACACTCTCAAAAGCCCTCCAAATGTATCTAGATCTTAGCAGTTTGCCTATCACAATTCAAATAACATTAAAAATGTAAAATAATCAATTTAAAGGAAAAATGACTTCCCCCTACTTACTCTTTCACTCAATGTCAATTCTTACCTATTTCAACCATCAGTACAATTGCATTCAAAATTATGAGGAATATGATGAAGTTTGTGAAGAGAGGACCTGTTTTCTCTTAAGGAAACATATAGTGGAGTTCTTTGACTCATGCAGGTGAAATAATAGGGGCAAGAATAGAACCAGTGAGACTGAGAAGGAAATGGAGTTTGGAAAGAGAAAAATAAAGTCGTAAGGCTGATGGTGAGGCAAGAAAAAGAGTAAAGCCCTGGGATAAAATGAGTAGTATGAAAGGATACACTCAAGGACCCATCCAGCCCACAAAGAAAGAGGTGGCCTCCAACAGAAGCGCACTTCAAACTTGCTCATCAGTCTTTGGCTGTGCGTAATCCGTCCTTCACGACGAGGCTTTAGGGAGAAGCGCACAAGCTGGTGTTGATCTCCTAACGTCATTTTCTTCTGATAGTCAGGATCTACACCAAAAAAATTAAAAAAGGGTCAGTAGATAATTATAAAGAGAAGTTTGAGAGGCAAGAAGGTATGAAGCGCAGGTAGGCTTGGGGGCAGGAATACTGATTACATAAAGGGGCACCCTCGTGGTGGGTCTTGCCTTGCTGCTCCTTCTCACACAACTAATATTAGTTTGAAGAGCTAATGTATTGCTTATGATCAATACTGTCCATGCCCAAGAATAAAGACAGCAGGTCCAACTCTCTACGTTTTAAATGTCTTTGGTAAAAACTTCCACAACAATCAGGGCTGGTAGGCCTAAAAGTTAGTAGCATGGGTTTTATCACCTGGATCCAAATAATTTTATTTTTAAAACCTTTGATTTATCAATTTATCAAGTTTGGTGTGACCTCCGAACTAACAACCATCTCAAACTCCCCTGCATTTTCCACCCTTAAAATTGTCTGTCTGCTGCCCATGCTTTGGAGGGTGTGGATGGGAGTCTTAAGATTCTCCTTGGGAAGAGACAGGCTGCTGACCAACGATCTCTCGGATGATGTGCCGTGGCACAGCTTGGCTCACGCCTTGCAGATGCTCGATGAGAGAGAAGGTATCGATGAGCCGAGAACGAATGGCATCAGCCCTGGGCAGCTGCATGTGTCCCTCGGGGTTGTAAGTGGCCATGTCTGTTAAGACAATGGAAAAATCACCTATCATTTCATTCTCGGAGTTGCATCCAAGATCAGGGGTCTTCTTCCCCTCCTCCCACTCTCTTTGCCCTTAAGAATACAAACACATTGTAACAAGACTCAAGGTTTTTTGGGGGGTTTTTTTGGAGACAAAAGGCGCCAGGAGTCCGAAGAGGCTATTGCACCGTTGACAAAGTGGCCGGGCACCTTCCCTTGTGCGGCGGCATCTCTAATTCAGAGCAGCAGCCACAAGGGTCGGTAGGCTCCCCCGGGGTTGGACAAAGAGGAGTTCGGGCACCACCTGGACCCCGAAGGAACCAGGCAATGCAATGACGTGGCGCAGTGGGAGGGCTCGCGGCTGCCCCCGAAACAGAAAGCAAGTTCAGAGGAACCGGACAACGTGCCACAGCCTGACATTTGGGTCACGTGTCGGGTCCCAGCGCCGCTCCCGCTCCCAACTTCCGCCGGCGGGCCTCACCTCGGCCCGGGCCCCGCCGCCCACTCGGCCCCGACTTCTCGCCTCCACCTCCGCTCCGGCGTCCCGAGCTCGGCGGTCCCCCCACCCGGTGAACGCGTTCGGGGTCGGCCCCCCGCAGGACCGCGACCCCTTCCCAGCTCCGCCCGCACCCTCCCGAGTTCCGGCTCGCCCGGAGCCCAGCTCCGGTCCCCGCCCCGGCTCTGCCCCTCCCGCCCGGACGCCCGCCGCCAGGCCCCGCCCCGCGCCCCGGCCACCCGGCGGTTACCGGCTGGTCCCGCCCGCCCGACGCCAGCGCCGCGCAGCCAATCGGCGGCTGCCACACTGCGGCCCGAGCCGGGCGGGGGTGGGGACGTCCGGCTGCAGGTCCGCCTGGGCTAGACGCGTGAGCACCGGCCGAGGGTGCGCGGTTGCAGGTCCGGTCCCCGCAGGCTCCGCCGAGTCCCGACCCTCCGCCGCCATGCGCCCCCGCCGCCTCGCACTGCTCCCGGGCGTGGCGCTGCTGCTGACCGCGGCCCGCTGGGCCGGTGCCTCCGACGTGCTGGAACTCACGGACGACAACTTCGAGAGTCGCGTCTCCGACACGGGCTCCGCGGGCCTCATGCTCGTGGAGTTTTTCGCCCCCTGGTGAGGCCACTGAGCCGGGAGGGGAGGGGAGGGCGGGCGGGCTGGGCCGGGTCTGGCCCGGGCCGGGCCCGGGGACGGAGGCCCGGGAGCGGTTGGGCCTGCGCGGCGCCGGGCCCTCCCCCCTTCCAGCGGCCCGGCTGCGGCCGGGGAGTTTCCCAGCCCCGGGGAGCCGAGGTACCTCGTCGAGAGCCGAGAAGTGGGTGCCGATCGCCGCGGGGCGAGACCCGAGAAAGAAAACCCCGAAGGAGGCCCCTCTCGCGCGGGGCCACATCCTGATCTCGTGCGCTCGCGGCACTTCCTATTTGCAGGGGGGTTTAGCCACCCCCGGCCCCACGGTGATGGGCGCCTTGGCAGTTTCTGGGCGGTCAGTGTGAATGGTCTCCCTGCTGCAGACTAGGCATCCCGAGGCCTTTCAATGGAAGGTATCGTGTCCCCGAGTGCAGAGGTCCCGGCTGCCGGGGTGTTTCCTTCCTCCTGGACCCAGGCCCCGCAGCCAGGCGATTCTAGCCAAGGTCACTCGGTGGCTGCAGAATGGCCCGAAGTGCGTTCTCGGGGGGAGCCATTATTTTGTCCATCGCATGGTGCACACTTTCTCCATTACGCTGATCACTTACTTCCCAGCAGCAGCAGAATCCGGTCACACACACACACACAAAAAGAGTAGGTGAACAAGAGTGATTTCGTCAGAACCTGCCTAAATTGTCCGTTTTAATTAGGATTTTTTTTAAATGCCAAAAACTCCAATTAGAAAGTAACCAGTATTGGAGGAATACTCCATTGCGGGGGGATTTAACTGAACAAGGGTTTACATTTCTTAGGCTAGAACTAAGTTTAGATAAAAGACTGGAGGTGGGGGTAGGGTAGGGAACGAATAGGATTTCTGACCCAGTAATAAATCTGAGTTTCCTTTTTTGTGTAACCCCCAAGCCTTTACCACAGAAAACAGTGATTATCTTAACACATGAGATAGCTCATTCTATCTATACCAATTCACAGTACTTAATTTTTCCATCCCCGCCACAATTACCCTTAATTAAAAACTACCTTTATCCCAAAGTATCAGTAAAACGAAGCATAGCTTTCACTTCTAACTCTGATCTTCACTGCAGGTGCTCCACTGACTTGTTGAGGGTTACTAGAAGTCCTGTAGTCGGTGAAGATCACCTAGAACAGTGGTTCTCAACCTTGGCTGCACATTAGAATCACCTGGGAATCCGAGGTGATTCTAATGTGCAGCCGAGGTTGAGAACCACTGACCTAGAAGGATGTGCTAAAGGCAATGAATTTGGTTTTAGCTTGTGACAAATTTTGTGTCCAGGGCATTCCTATGGCTAACTGGCAGTACTGAGTACACATCATAGGCTCATCTTTAGACTCACATTCTCTCTTAGAAACAACTCTTCCCAGCCATATAACCGTGCTGCTAACTTTAAGGGGTTGTCCCTTTCCTTAGCATGGCTGGATAGAGTTGTTTCAAAACTGGGTAGTGCTTTAGTGACTGCAGAGATCAACATGAAGTGAGTTGCATGGAGAACTGTGAGCAGTCAGACTGGGTTAAAGCATATTTTTCGCAATGTTGTTATAGATTTATGCGGAGGATGGGGAAGGAGAAGAACATCAACGGTGCTCAGACCAGGACAAACGAGACCTGGCTGCGCACTGATGGACGAACCTTTGGTGCTAGACCGAACTCAGCAACGCGCAATGAACGGACTAGGCGGATTGTTTTCCACTCAAGGCGTC